AAACATACATACAATAATTAAAACTGCCTGAGCATTGCACATTATTCAGTACAATACAACAAATAATGTTATTTCTTTGGTTTGCTATGAAATATATGTAAAATTTGTTCTATTGTGAAGGAATGTTTCAGAAACTTTATCTATTCTGAAAAAATGCTGAAATCAACCATGTTTTCTTGAGCACAAGTTGACCTCCCATGCTGCCCTTTGACCTGATGCATATGTAGATCAAGAATTCCATTAACCAATCAGAATAATACCTCATTCTTTCTGATTACTCGCCATTGTAAAGAATGCATTTTGGTTTAATAAATTTATTAACATTGAAGTTTCAGTCTGATCAGTTCATTTCACTGCGGGATTTTTTTTTTAAAGAATAAACAAGAACTGAAGAAATATTAACAGCTTTGAAGATGACAAATGTATTTTACCTATACGTGTCTTTTCTATGACACTAACTCAATCATATTTTTTTTTTATTTGTAATCTGTATTTTTTAACCATGTTGCCTTCTGACAACAAAGGACACACCAGGTATGCCATCTAATGTTTTTGTAATCACTGATTTTAAATCTAAAAATTCCACCAGTTCAAAATTTCACCTTATTTTTTTTTCAAAACTAATTATTTAAAAGTGGTTGAAACAGTATATAAAAACACCTGTGGAGGGGGTTCGCAATTTCACAGAATATATTTATGAGAAATAGTGACCTTAGAAAACTTGTACCAGTCTAAATGTACATTTTGTTAATCCTTGTTACTATATTTGAACACAGACAAAAATATATTTAGACTGTTGAGCTGCAGGCCCGATTAAAGTTACATATACCGTATTAGCTCTATTAGAAGCACATCTCGAACAAAGGCACAACAAATCTTTGGAAGGATTTTTCAAGCAAACCAAATACTATATTTCCTAGTTAGTAGTTGAGTGTGTTTGAACTTCAATAACACATTTGAATAGTATTTCAAAATATGTCAATAAACAAAGAGTACATTCTGTTTCACATTACTACAAGGGGCAGTAATTCAATGCAGAATTCTGGTAAAATTCTTAAATTTTTTTTCTACAATTTGCGTAAATTCTGACTATTAATTAAGCCACACATTATCATCCCAAGATACCAATAAAGTTACATCAATGTTCTAGAAGTATGACTTCCAAAAAAAAGTAAACACGGTTATAATCACATATATTTAAGGAATGTAAATGCATTTTCACCAAATTTACTTTATTGTTATTGTTTTATTAATTTTATTTATAGTGTACTGCTATTTGAATCCTCTGCTGTAACACCAACGATTCATTTACTTGGACTGTGTTATTCCAGAAGTGGAATCATTAATGAAAGTTATCCTCAGATTTTAGCATCTATAGTAAATGTATATAAAGGCCAGTCATCAAAACCAGGGAGCCTTCCACTGTATATTGTAAAATTCTTTATTTTAGCTGGAATTAACTTTCACTGATTTCACTGAGTTGAATGTGAAATATAGGAAAAAAGGTATACTGTAGAATACTTTATTTTCGCTTGGAATTTATTTTCGCTATTTTCACTTAAGAAATGATTCCGTGAAAATAAAATCCAGCGAATATACTTTTTTTCCTATATTTCACATTAAACTCATCAAAAATCAGTGAAAATAAATTCCATACAAAACGCCCAAAAAGCCTTTTCAGCGAAAATTAATTCCAGCGAAAATAAAGTATTCCACAGTATTCGCTGTATTTTATTTTCACTGAATCATTCCTACAGCAAAAATTAATTCCAAGTGAAAATAAAGTATTTCACATCAGATGCCACCAATTTACCAACAATCTCTGTTGAATTAGGCCTATATTTAAAGTGTGACAATGCACAGCAAAAACTGGTGTCATTTCCCCTTGTAGATGATTTTTTTATTTATGCCATTTCTGTTACATTTACACTACAGTACAATGTAAATAGTTATATTTTCACTGCCATCAATTTTCGCATTTACATGATTTAAAGGTGTTCAGAGAAAAATTTTTAGGAAAGGTCTTAATGACCCATCACCGCCACCACCACCCTCTCCCCCGCCAGGGCTTCCTGTATCCATTCAGCAAAGGATGGATTTACTGGTAAGTGGCTAAATAAAACTAAATTTGTTTTTCTCATATATACTGTAGTAGGCAGGAATTTTCACAACAAAATAAGTGAATTTATGATCAGTTTAAAATAATAAAACCAAAGCATGTAAAGCTAGCTAATACATATACCGGTAATATGACCCACAGTTACATGTGGGAGTTGGCATAATCTGAGGTAGCAGCCGAGCTATATACTTACTATCAAGCATGGAATCAACTAAGCTTGTGATTGAGATTATTTGGGTGATAATTCTCATTAACAGAGAATATGTTCCCCCAAAAGTACCAGGATGTATAGTGTTTAGGGAGTTATACACACACCCCCACACACACAGCTTGTTGGGATGGAGTGAACTTTTTATACACTAATATTTTCTGGTCAGGCTGTGTAGAAACACAAAGCAGATAATCTCCCAATAAAATTGCAGAATCGCACAAGCGTGCTCGTAACATGTAGTTTCATGTATTAAATCAACAAATCTTCACGACTAGGCATCAATCAAAGGTTGTTTTTCGGTTATGTATTGTCAACGACCAGCACATTCAACCAAAAATAATTTGGTGTTCATTTCATTTAAAAAATGTTAATGAGTCAGTTTGGAACAAAAATGAAAGAACTGCAAGCTCACAGACTAACACAGAACAACCCATTTTGTGACAAGTCGTGAAGGTGTTAAAAACTGAACTTACAAGACTGAGCAATATTGCAATAGAACAAAACATTGATAAATTATAAGAAAGTAATGAGTAAAATCAATAATGGATCAACAGTCTGTCTTATTCATATACAAATTCAATCAACGAATGAAGACACTGGATGTATAATGTTTAGAACTCAAATTAATATTATACGGTGTTCATTTTCAAATCTGACAACAATGTAAGAGCATATGCAAATTGCAAGCTGGGATTGTTAAATGTGAGCATCAGCCGTTGGCTAATACCCAAGCTGCCTAATATGGTCACGACCCACATCACCTAACAGTGATTCATGAAAGAGACAGAGCACCATGGAAAATATCAATACTGTGACTATTACAAAAAACATCCATCTACAAACTGATTCCTCAAAATAAAATTGTAATCTGTATATGCTTTGTATTTTATTCTACTTTGTTTTGCATGCAGCAGTACAGGCACAATGACACCGCTTTTATATCAGTTATAACAAATTATACAATGCATTAATTAATTAATTCATTTTGAAAAAAAAGCTTTTTCATATCATATTTCTTTCACTTCTGGGAACAATGAGACTGTCATACCTCTATAATCCAAATAAAGCAGAGTTTTAAAAATAAATATGTTCATATCTCATTCACAAAACAGAACACAGCAGAACAGCCAAAAAATGCAAAGTGAAATTAAACAATGATAATTCGTTTCAGGTCAACGAAAATTAATAAAACATTAAAACAGAATAATTTGATTTTTTGGGATGATAATTCCCTTAATTAATTGTTATCAGCGTATGAAAGATTATAAAATCAATTTAAAACAAGTGATTAACTAGTACTAATCAGCAAAATTACTGCAGCTTGGTGTCAAACTAGACTTTGCTAACTTAAAATTATTTTTGATTAAATATTAATAATATAAAATTAAGTTTTTTTTGCCTTATTTTTTAGAAATGAAAGCCAAGCCTGAAAAAAATGTGGTACATTAAATAATATTTAAGAGAAAAAAAATGCTAAAAAACATGAAAATATGTAAAATAAAATAATTTTCAATGCAGAATAACTGTGTGGTAAAAAACACCCATTTACTGCCTTGGTTATGTTAAACCAGCCCCACAAAAACTACCCTTGATACCCTTCGATCTGCTGTACTACATTCTGCACTAGCTTCAGCAGCAAAGATCAGAGAAATGCATCACAAGAACCATGGCAATAGTAATTACAAACAAAAAAAAGACAACAATTTTTAAATCTGAAACCAATTACAATCATTTTTACCCTGATATTATGAAGACAGATTACAAAAAATAATCTAATTGAATCATGAAAATATTTGATGTAAGCAAACAAACATTGGAAAAAAAGTGGTCTGTACAGCTCCAGGTACAACACAAATTTTTCCTGGTATTTTAAATATGAAACCACACCGAAGCTTACTCGAACGCATTGCGATTAATTAATAACGGCCAGTGCATGTTTTGGAATATACCGGTATATTACAAAAAAAAAAAAACACAATGAAGAGAACAAAACAAAAACCGTTCTTCTGGGTGGATATACATTTTACGAATAATGTTATTCTATCAATACATGACCTTAAACTAAGTAATCGACTACACACACAAAACATACGATCATCAACGATTTTTCGATTTTAAATATAAACGTTTGCTTTTTGAAGTTTTTTTTTATTTATTTGTTCGTCGAAACTAGTCCTGCTTTGCACTGGCTAATTACGCATTCAGAACCAGTAGTACAGTGACGGGTCCACACACGTGTTAAAATGCAGTGGAGTGAGGCATAATGCTAGCCAGCCCAGACAACAACACATAACATACACTACGCCTGTGTGAAAAATTAAATTTGGCGCTAAATGTACAAAATCTACATGTGAGCCTCCGAAAACAACAACAACATGTGTACCGGTTAGAAGTTAGTTAGTCGGTGTTCGCGATCGACTTCGTTTCTGCTGCGGAAAATTATATCTGTTGTCTGTAAAAGTTAATATGCAATTATAAGCAACATGGCTGGTCCGTCTGTCTGGGCCTCCTCCATTTTTTCAAGGCCGTCATAGGTGGGTCAAGGTGATATAAACGGGGTAAAACTCATCGGAAACAACCCCAAAGTAGTTCAGAAGAAAAGCCCACACCGCACTACCCGACAGAGACTATGTTTTACGCCACGGATACGGAAAATGGTGCAGAACTTACCAAGTTTAGGGCGACCTTGTCTGTGTTGTTGCTCAGCTATTCATCAAGCGTTACGCGTCAGACTGTGACGTCAGAGGACGTTGCAGACCAACGATGGGCCATTCGCGTGGAGGGGTGAGAAGGCTAATATGGAGGGGCCTAAAACGGACTGTTCCAAATTGCTTGGCATCGTGAACGCGGGAAGTGTTGTCGCGTTCATTGCAACGATCGTGTAATTCGCTAAAGACTATTATTTGAAAATTTTCCACGAGAATATGCGCTTAAAATTCTCCCAGTGTTCGACCAATAGTCATACGCTGAAGAAAACGTCCCTCTGGTGGTCCCCGTATTGTGATGGTAGGAAAGCCATTGCCGACAGTTATTTGCATGTTATTACCATAACCAGACTGTTACGACACTCCAAAAGTGTTATGTAAGGCGTGCCGTTAATGTGTATTTGCAACGTCAACCAGACAATGATAGCACGTCTAATGATTACATTGTTTTTTTCATTAAAGAATCAGTATATAAGTTGTATTCGAAGGACTGCAGTTCACGCAATCTACATTCAAGGAATGAAACCTGAGGGGGGGGGGGGTACCCCTCCCGTGTATGTGTTTTATGGGGACGTAATGTAAATGTAGCCGACACTTTATGACTCCTTATTATGCCAATTTGTTTATAAAGGTGAGACAAATACAATTTAAAATATTTAATTATTGATTTGCTTGAATTTACCTCAACCGACATTAATTTGAATAGCTCGAAATAGCTTTTCTAAAACGTATACATTCAATAATGTGGAACATGTTTAACATCAAGACAATGCAATCAACTTGAACATGGAATTGCAAAAAATTAACCAACTTGAACATGGAATTGCAAAAAAATTAACCAACTTGAACATGGAATTGCACACAAAAATTAACCAATTTGAACATGGAATTGCAACAAATTAACGAACTTGAACATGGAATTGCAACAAATTAACCAACTTGAACATCGTATTGCAACAAATTAACCAACTTGAACATGGAATTGCAACAAATTAACCAACTTGAACATGGAATTGCAACAAATTAACCAACTTGAACATGGAATTGCAACAAATTAACCAACTTGAACATGGAATTGCAACAAATTAACCAACTTGAACATCGTATTGCAACAAATTAACCAACTTGAACATCGTATTGCAACAAATTAACCAACTTGAACATGGAATTGCAACAAATTAACCAACTTGAACATGGAGTTGCAACAAATTAACCACCTTGAACATGGAATTGCAACAAATTAACCAACTTGAACAAAGAATTGCAACAAATTAACCAACTTGAACATGGAATTGCAAAAAAATTAACCAACTTGAACATGGAATTGCACACAAAAATTAACCAATTTGAACATGGAATTGCAACAAATTAACGAACTTGAACATGGAATTGCAACAAATTAACCAACTTGAACATCGTATTGCAACAAATTAACCAACTTGAACATGGAATTGCAACAAATTAACCAACTTGAACATGGAATTGCAACAAATTAACCAACTTGAACATGGAATTACAACAAATTAACCAACTTGAACATGGAATTGCAACAAATTAACCAACTTGAACATCGTATTGCAACAAATTAACCAACTTGAACATGGAATTGCAACAAATTAACCAACTTGAACATCGTATTGCAAAAAATTAACCAACTTGAACATCGTATTGCAACAAATTAACCAACTTGAACATGGAATTGCAACAAATTAACCAACTTGAACATCGTATTGCAACAAATTAACCAACTTGAATACGTAATTG